TTCGATACTTTAGCTACAACCGAAAGAAATTTTTTAAAATTAAAATTAATAAAATTTTATTTGTATTCAATCATATTATAAAAAAGATTAAGTAATTTAGCTATATTATCCATTGAAAAAGATTTAGTTTCTAGACTCGAATATAAAAATTTTATTAATGATTTTACATTTTAAAAGATAAGAAAATAATTTTTTTTTATTATGTATTTGTATTATTAGAGATTCATCAAAATAATTATTACCTAGGGCCACAAATATTCTTGACCCCGCCTTGGAAGTTGTCTTTACGGCTGTCACAAGTTTAGCATTGGATGAGTACGTCTGTAGGATGCGATGAGTGCCAAACTTCCACCAAATAAAGGCAGTTTCCCTGTTTCCAATATTATAATGAATCCATCCCCAGATGACAGGCCTAATTTTCAGCAATTTTCTCCAAGTCCAAGAGCAATATTGCGGAATTCGTCCACGTCATACAAACCAATAAAGAATGAAATTCAACCTCGTCAATTTCAAAGAGTTACTAGATCTGGCCTATGTCTAAGATCTATTAACTAATTGATTACTAATTGAATAATCGGGTTTATAGATGATGCAATACTAATAATTATTGAAATAATTTTCAATTTTTTTTAAATTATCAAATGTTAGAAGAAAATGCTTTCTTTTTTTCTAAATTTTTTTTTAAAAAAAAAAACATGTGGAAGACGAGTTTAACTAGATCATTCTGCTCCATAGCATTTGACAAATTTGGGTTAACTCGATATTTTCGTCCAATATTCTATTTGATTTTAATGAAAACTTAGATTGATATAGGTTTATTAGCACCAATTGTCACACCAAGTTTGACAATTATAGGTACGTAATTTTAAGAACAATTTTCAATCAAACTAGATCTTATCAGATCGATTAAAAAACCGATTGTCTAGTTATCAAATCGGATAGAACATTAGCCTAGTCGACCCGAGGGAGCCCGAGCAGTGCAATGGATGTGGTTGAGTTAAAAAAATCTAAAAAGTTAAATTTATTTTATTTTTGAATAATAAAAAAAGAACAACTAAAAATATTTATAATAAACAAATGTTCATAAATAATAAAACTGAAAGATTAGATCAATTCCAATTACATCCTTGAGGTGTTTATAATTTAATCCCAACTTGTATGATTTGTCATGTTAATTTCACTGTCATTGCTGGGTGCCACCAAGACCAATTACACTAGAATTCTGTCATCAACTGTGGACGACGCCATCTTAGACCTTCTAGAAAAATCCAAAAATACCGAAAGCCGTTCATTCCAAGAATTTTTGGCCATGATGCAAGGTCCGGTCACGGACGAAGAGCGATGGATCAATAATTTTATGGTTCGGTCATTGTTCAGAGGTCAAGGTCAGATCGATACTCATCAGATATCCTCGGATTCCTTTAAAGATACCAAATAAAATGCCAAATATTTTGGATGGACTTTAAAATTATAAAATATCTAATTGCACAATGCAGTGAACTTTTCTTTAAAAAAAGAAAAAAAAATTAAATTTTTCAAAAAGCTAAAAAAGTTTATACTTTTCATTCCTAGAAAATTGCATTTTTGTGTCAAATTTTTTGTTTTTTTTGGTGCTCAATCAGTATTTTCTTCTGTTTTAATATCTAAGTTTTGATTTTTTTTTTTTTTCTGTTTTGATTTTGAGAGTTACCTAAGAGTATGGAATATTGATGTGTCTAGACTAACTGCCGCATGAAAGTAAAAATGTCACGTGGCGAGTCATCTTAGACACATCAATGATTCATACTCTCGGATGATCATAATTTTAAATTACATATGCAGTTGAAAAAACAATCATAGCATACCGCAATTGAAAATATCGATCGTGGTCGTTATATGATGCCAAATAATGAATAAAATTATTAAATAACGATCGTTATTTAAATATATGCTCGGTGATTATGGGAGCTTGAAAAAAAATGGGCATTGAAATAGAAGAATTTACAAGTTAGGTATTGAAATAGAAAAAAAATCAAAATTTTGGAACCGAAATCATAGTTTTTTTAAAAAAAATTGTCGCCTCGAGATCGTGGAATTAATAACATTTCATCCGCATCTATAGTAGAGTTTGATGTATGCACAAACCTACATAAAAACATGATTTGATTTTTGCAGTAGGAATGTTAGAAAGGTTGCAAAACAATCCTAAAATAGAACATTAAAAAGCTATTAAAAAAGTCATAAGGTATGTATAAAAAAACAAATTACAAAATACCAATCATCTTAAGATGATTGCTTATTTAGATTCGGATTTTATTGATTATGCAAATACAAAAAAACCTACTTAATGATTTTTTTCTTTTTTGTTGGAAGAGCTATATCTTGTAGAAATACTAAGCAAACTATTGTTGCTTCATCCGTTATTAAATCGAATTCATTGCATGTTACAAAGCAACAATACAAGCTATTTAGTTAAAGGATTTTATTTCGATATAAAAGTTGTCGATTCCATACTAAGATCAAAAAATATTTATTGTGATAATTCGACCGTAGTTTTATTCTATAAGAATAATAAAAGTGCAAATCGAAATAAGTATATCAACATAAAGTATTTTATAGTGAAAGAAAAAATAAAAGAACGTGATTTGTTCATTGAGCATATTAGCACCGAGCTAATAGTTATAGCATAACTAAGTATTACCAACTAAACAATTTAGAGATCATGTATATGGTATGAGTCTAACTAACTCATTTGATGTTTGACTTGTAAAAAATAACCTACTTATTATACCAATAGTTTAGGGATCCCGCATTTTTTACCTTAAAAAGATAACCTACTTATAATAATTAGCTAGGTTGTGAAGTTGTGTTTAGTATGTAAACATAGTTTCACAATAGCTTACACCAATCCAACTTTAGTACCTCTAGTTCTCAAGGTATCCTAAAGCACTTTAACGGTAAACTTACCTTTAGAAGTGACCTTCCCGGAGACACAATCTTCTTCATGCTCATTTGAGAAAAGGATGCCACATACGACCTCCTAGATTTCAACAAGAGCATCGGACCTAGTAGGTGTCCATAACCATAAGTTATCGTTAATAACGGTTACAATTTTAGCATTGGATGATATGTTTTTGTCATAAATGATTCTATGGTTATACTTCTTGATGAGAGGGCTTATAGGATGCATTTCGGGTGTCTAATTTTTTTTTCTATTTTGGTGTTGACGAGTTACCTAAGAGTATGAAATATTTACATGTCCCGACTAACTCGCCACCTAATAGTTAAAATGTCATGTGGAGGATCATCTTAGACAAGGCAAGTAATTCATATTCTTAGGTGACTATAGTTTTAAATTACGAATGCGGTTGAAAAAATAATCACGACTTATCGCAATTGTAAATATTAGTCATAGTTGTTATATAAAGACAAATAACGATAACTTAATATTTCAAAACTCGTTATATAAAGATCATTACGTTATGTAACTATTGTTATTTAAATCTATACAAGTGAGTATGGGCACCTAAATAGAAAAAAAAATCTAGAGGTTGGGCATTGAATAGTAAAATTTATCAATTGGGCACTAAAAAAAAATCAAAGGTTAGGTTCTAAAATCATTATTTTTTCAAGAAATGTATTGCCTCGAGATCATGAAATTAGTTACATTCCATATGCATCCACAATAGGCAGTTTGATGCATGCGTAAGCCTCGTATAAAACATGACTTGACATTTGTAGTAGGAATGTTAGGAAGGTTCAAAGTAATCCCGAAATAGTATATTGAAAAGTCGCTAAGAAAGTCATAAGGTATTTATAAAAAACCAAGGATTGTAACCCGACTTACAAAAATACTAATCATTGTGAGGTGGTTGCTTATTTAGATCCAAATTTTACTAATTGTGTAAATACAAAAAAAATATTCTATTTTATGGTACATTTTTCTTTTTGTTGAAGGAGTTGTATCTTAAAGAAGTACAAAGCAAACTATTGTTACTTCATATGCTATTAAAACAGAATTCATTCATTGCATGCTATGAAGCAACAATATAAGCTATTTGGTTAAAGAATTATATTTTTTATCTAAAAGTTATCGATTCCATATTAAGACCAAGTAAAAATTTATTGTGATAATTGGATGTAGTTTTTGCAATAAGAATAATAAAAATAAAAGTCGAAACAAGCATATAGACATAAAGTATCTCATGGTGAAAAAAATAAAAGATCATGAAGTGCTCATTAACCATATTAGCACCGAGCTAATAGTTGCATATATGATGGTTTAAAGATCATGTAAATCGTATGGATCTAGTTAATTTATTTAATTTTTTACTTTATTTTTTATTTTCATTGATTGTCTAGACATTTTTTTTATGTTATTATTAAAAATTGATGTGATTTATGTGATTTTTTGTGCACATAAATTATTATTTTCTTTATCTCGTTGGGATATATAAAGTTAGAATGAATGATTTATTAAAAATTTATTCGTAAAGTTTATTTTCCCATTAAGTATTTATTTTGAAAATGCAATGCATTGTAACACATGAAAAGAAGTATTTAGGTGTAAAGTACGATCACTATAATAATACGTTGTATTCTTGATCTATATGTGTGTTTTTACTTATTAGCTATTTTAGGTTTTATAATGGAATTGTCATAGCTAATAAGTAAAATTATGTATCAACCATCAATACACAGAAAATCCTAAAACATCCGCATATAATAGAAGACTTTTTTTAACTTAACCGCACTAGTTTTTCGAGAAAATTGTTTGAACATTTACTCTGTCATAGCCAAAGGTATATATCCTATTAACTAGCTTTCTATTGTGGTTATATACTTGTGCATATTTAATTTATCTCGTGAAAATATTTTGATTGGGAAAGCTATACTGTTTCTTTTCATGGGTTGATTTCAAGCATGAAAAAGGAATTTGTACTTCACAACCATGATCTGCAACTTCAATTCACTAGCATTGAGAGAGAAAAATAATAATAATGAACATTTCAGCAAGAATATCAAGGATCAAAATCAAGCAACAAAGGAGCAATCCTTAACAAAGGTTCTAATGCCTGCGGCAAAAATTTTCTAGCAAAGACATGACACGTTGAGGTTGTATTACCACTATAAACACATTCTGAACCGTACCGAATTTGATTCAAGAATTCATCCGTGATATCACCCCATCCGAATTTCCCCGGATGAGGACCGCCCCTCGACCAATCAACCCAAGTAATGCTCCGGTTTGAATTTAACTCGGGGTAAAGTAAGTTCACCAACGTTGGAATGTAATGTTCATCCATGTAGCATGGTGGGAGACAATGCTCTTTAAAGACCTGGTAATATTTTTGATCGGATACAATGTGAACGGCAATGTCTCGATGTACCTCAAACCACTGGGACCCTTTTCGCCAATCGGTGATGTTAATTACAGGCCACATTCTGGGGTTATACCGACCACGACCTGGTTTTCTGGGATCGTCAAATGAGCCTAGAAAGCTCAGATTTGAGTTCATGAGATAGTCATATGTTGTCTTGAAATTGAACAGCGGAATACAAGATTCAGAGAGTAATGCGAATCTTTGATTGGAGTAGTCAAGGAGGGCATTCGCTAATAGACGTCTCTCAGCATCGATCATTGTTTCAGTTCCCCAATAGACGGGCTGCAAAGTACACAAATTGTAAACGAAGTTTTTGTAAGAATTTCATTGAAGATTCTAATGCCAATAAATGTAGCACAACTAGAAAAACAATTAATAAGATGTGTTCTTACGATTGGTGCAATTTCTTTCTCTCTTTAGAGTGAAGTTACTTACTTAGCAAAGTTTAATAAATTTCTTTCTTTCTTTCTCATTGAACAAGGGATTTCATATTGAAGTTGCAATGGTTTTTGAAAGAAGCTAACCTGGCTAGGAATTCTTCTACCATAGAAGACAGAACTTTGAGGCCACGAATCATTATAAGAAGGATGTGGGTGCACATAAATGGAGTAGAGTCCTTCATGCCCTTCAAAGAACTTCTCCCACAAAGGAGCCAAAGGAAGTGGCCCGTTTGTCAAGAACATAAAAGCAACTTTTGGATCATGCTTGTAAGCAGATTCTCTAAGAATCGGAACGTTAGATGCTGTCTTTAGCAACTCCTCATCACTTATATTGTGCATTTTGAGGAATTCTTGTTCTTTCATATGAATATGTGTTCCTTCAATTATTGTTTCTAAGGGTAATGACTTTGACGGTATTGGTGAAGATATAGGGTTGAGGGTGGCTTGTAAATTGAACGAGAAGCTTCTGAGATATAAACAAACTATCATTCCAAGTGACAAACCAATAACAAAGAACATGAAGTGGAAGACATGGCTTAGTTGTAAATGGGTTTTGAAAGGGCTCAAAGTTGATTGAACTTGATATTTCTCATCAGCCATTGCTATTGATATGGTTCGAATTTCGAAAGGAAGGAGGTTCTAAATTTAAATTGCAAGAACTAGCTAGTTGAAAATACTTGAAACGCGAGTAATGGTGGCTAGAATGTGATCTAATTCGCTTCTCCCATAGTAATAGACTAGCACCATGATCTGTAATTCACTTCTTTCCTAGAAGTCTAATTTCCATGACGTGAAATTAAAGAAATTAATGGACTATTTGGTCTTGGTCTATAATCATAGATAATGCAATAGCCAGCAGAACTATTTTGACAAAACCAGAGAAACATGACGCTAGAGATAGCCATCGCTTAAATTTAGGTAAGTGGCCACATTTATACTCAAACTCTTGCTTGAGCCATAGATTTTCATCTCTTCTTCTTTATGGTCCTCTCTATTCTGCATGCTCTACACTCACACCATAATAATTGATATTTCCACTTCACCCCTACAAATCTAATTCCTATTCCATATTTACTTTTTTAGTCACATGGTTAGAACCTAACTGAATATCATTACGCAACGGCCAGCAATACTACTTTGACTAAACCAGAGAAACATAACACTGAAACCATTGCTTGAATTTAGGTAGGAAACCACAATTGTACTCAAACCTCTCTACTTGCACCCACCATTTTCTTGTCCTAGCTCTTCCTGGTCTACTCCACTACACAAACCCCACTATGAGTTAATTAATGCATTGATCAGCGATTGCTTCGATGACAAAGTAGGCTTACCTTGTGCCTAATTACAGCACATTGCTTTGCCTTAGATCATCCTCTCGAAAATTGACTCGAATGAAGCAATTTTGTGGATATATAGACCATTAATGGACTGTAGGTTAGGGCATGCTCTGCAATATCTAGGGATTATGTGTCTGATTTGCACCTATTTGTTACATTCAAAAGCTTTGCATGGTAATAATAAAAATAATATCCCAAGTTGTTTATGCATTAGAGCTGCAAAGTCAAGAATTTAGAAGGCCGGAGAGCCATTGGCCATTACGTACTTGGTTCATAATCTGTGGCAGCTGGAGCTTGAAGTCAACAACTTCATTAAAAAGACTTGGAATCATTATTCTCATGGAAAGATCCCTGATTGCTTATGTACTCAAGTCCGAAAATTTCTAGGAGGGATGTACCCTTAAAGTTTCCTTGGAAGATATTGACACATCACAATAAGATTTTTAATTAGCTTAACTTACTTCATGATTGGTGGGTATATATAATTAGCACAAGTTGTACTGCCAAGTACTAATATTAATAATATTTATAATCAACAACAAAGAGTGGTTTAGTGATCAAAGTTTAGATTTTTAATAGGAGATTTGTACGTTCACATTTCACTTCTCATATCTCTTTATGATTATCTTATATTTGTTTTTTTAGTTTCAAAAAATAAATAAAAAATTTTATTTTAAGATCAATCTATATTCACAAAAAAGATCGAGGAATGATCAATTCTTGAGTTATAAAAAAACAATATCTATAATTATTTTATTGTAATTGACCATCGACTTTTTTTCAGCTTTTTTCTTTAACCACAGTATATTAATAATAGTAAAAATAATACATTTATTTCAAAATTGAGTTTTCGACGAGTTTAATTAGCGAACTAGCTTTCTTTCTTTGTTGAATAAGGGATCGAAAATATCTATTTCGAATGAGTTTTTCAAATTTAGATAATAATTCGTGAATGAAATTTTATAATGGATAACATTACTTAAAAAATAGATTTCGATTTGAACTTAAAATTAATTCTTTAGAATATTTGAACAAGCAAATCCCAATTGAAGAGCTTTTGAAATTCACATTTACAGATTAATAGTAATAAAAAAAAGGTTAGAAGTTAATCTGTAATTGGCTTTACTAATTTTGCAACTTTATTTATTATTTTTTTATTTTTTGAAAAATATGCACATTAGCTCTTAAGAGCTAAAAACGCGAGACCTTTGCATGGTTTAGGCGAATCCAGAAGAAAAGGCTTCGAAACGCACCGCTTGACGCTTGATCTCCTAGAGAAGAAACGCCATCAAATTCGAAGAGAAAAATAGGGGGGACAATGGATCAGAAGGAAGACGAGAGAAGAGAAGAAGCAATAGCATCAAACCCATCTCTGCAAGCAAATTTCAAGCCAAAACGTGTGACCCAAGACCAGCTCTCCAAGCTACAAGTATGTATGATCATTAATTACCTCTCCTTTTATAACATGCTTGTGTGTATAAATGTATATGCCAATTTAAGTTATTTTGATGGTTTAAGGACTAAAGTTTGGATCTTTAATGTATTTTGGTAACTGGGTCATTTCTTTTTGTGTAAAGATTGTAGAATAAGCTGTGTGGAAGTGAAAATTGATGTGAGTTGTGATTGGTTTCTTTAGAATGCTTTGATGTTGCAAAGTTTTGAGATTTTGTGTCTATTAGGTTGGGGTGTTAATGTAATGTAAAGAATTTTTGGGTTCTTAGAGAAGTGCAATGTCATGGATTTTTAAGTGCATTTTGTGTGTTCCTAAACATTTTTTTAGGGTTAAGAGGTTAAGAGGCTTTACAAATTGGGAGTAAAACATTGTCAGTTTGTGAATCCATGTTTGGAATCAGTTATTATTGTTTACTTGATAAATTGAGCTGGTTGGGTTACTCTTACTGCATATTCTGTAACCTTATTTTAGAGATTTTTTGATGTTATGAGCTTTTCTATATATTTAACAGGCATTTGTAAGCTACCATCATGTTCTAGGATTCAATGCTAAAGCCATGCTTAAGATCAAGATAACGTCTATAAACTTCAAAATGAATGCTTACTGGAAATCAATTAAATCAACTCTTTCTCGATCCTAGTTTGACATTCTGAAAATTTGACTGCATTGGTGATGTAGGAGCTACACAAAAGGCGCTTACAAATAAAATCAAAGATTTTTAAGAAATCAAAAGGTACCATTTTTTGTATTACCTACTTTCAAATTTTTCTCATGGGATTTTTATGCTACTCATATCTTATAAAATTTTACGAATTTCAGATGGTACTGGCAAATCTCATGGCAAAGCCCTCAAAAGCAAAGATACAGGCACAAACATTGAAGACTCAGGTGTTTCTCACTTGAAAACCAGTGATGACAATGTCAATTTCTCTGCACCACAAGACAATGATGCACATCATTCAGAAAAGAAACGCCAGAAATTACATTGGGGGTACGCTCTGCTATTTGTCATTGACCTACCGGACATGCACATAAAATTATATGTTCTAGGTGTGAATCTTTGTGGGTGTAATTCTTAATCATGCTTGCAGGAAACATTGAAGGGGGCAAATGTAAAGGCTCGTAAATGAAAAATGAGATGTTTCATTGGTGTTTGATTATAAATGTCTAGCTATCCTAATTTGACATGCACAATAACCCTTTGGTATGAAACAGAGCCCACTCGTGGAGTGCAAAATGGTGAATTACGCAGTAATGTGGCTACATATCTGTGTGTGTGAGAGAGAGCATGCATTAGCTTGTGTGGTTGTAGTTAATGTGACTGTTTTCAAACATGGTTGTCGCACCTTCCATTCTGTTGTCACCTTTTTCGTTCGTTTTTCACATCATTGTTCTGTTTCTTTTTTATTCCTTCCTGTAATATATGTTGCAATAATGCCATTGAAGTTGATGTGAGTGCTGCCATGATCCTTCCCCCCACCTTTTTTTTTCCTGGTCATATAATGCCTAATGGTCTCATAGGTGTTAGTTTGTTTGTAGGCTTGACACAAAGGAAAGATGGGAAAGAAAAGCCAACATGTAAACATCTCTGGGCGTTTGAGATGCAGCTCACTTGATCTGAAATTCACTTCTTGAGCTGAAAGATTAGTGAAACCCACGGAAAGTTTCGCTGCTTATATTGGTTTTCATTTACAAGTGGTGACAACATCATCATACACAAGCTCTTAATGAGGTAACGAGGAATATATTTTGAAGGCCTGGCATATAATGAAAAGTTGATACGGAAAAGATCAAAAGATGGAATAGAAAGTGTTTGGTTTGAATGTAAATGATTCTATTCGAGCGTCATATCCATGTCAATTATTTTGTTACATATCCATGTTTTGGCCAGCTGCTTCTATATTTGATCATGAGAAAACATAAATTGGGGGTTTCCATGTGCTTTCCTCACTTTCTTAAGACCAGAAAAGATTTTGCAAACAACATTTTTCTTTTACCAGCCAAGTTATGGAAGCATGATTCTGAAAGTTTAGCGTCTTTTAGAAAGTGGTCAGTTAAACAGCACTCAGGAGTACAGGTTTGACGTTGCGATGCGACTACAAGCCACCCCCTTGGTATTTTTTTAGGTCGGCTTTCCCGTTCCCTTCGCAGATGCTTCTAAAAGCTGTAACGTCAGGCGCCATCTCGATTGCAGAATGTTATCAGTCAGCTAACAATATACCCATAAAGCAACCTCCCTGCAACAGATCTTTTTCAGGTTCTCTTAGCTGTTTAATTGCTTACCTTACAGGGATACCGTATATGTATCAGTTGCGGTTGCAGATGAGCTCAACGCCTTAACTTGACGTAACCACTCAGCAGAATGGTCATGTAAAATTTCATTCAAGAATCATGTAGAAAAAAACAATCTTTGTAATATTTAACATTCATATTAAAAAAAAAAAAAATCTTTGTAATATTTTAACATTCAGCTTTGATGACCCAAGTGACTATCGGTGCTACAGTTCCAAGATTACATACAAAAACATTCCAAGATTACATGCAAAAACAGCCAGTTAACTAAGCTGGTTATAACAGAGATTCAGCATTTGAACATGTAGGACAATAAGCAAGCCCCGTGAAAAGTTCCTGCAGAATAATGAACCCTCCAGCGAAAAAAAGCACCATCTATCCTAAGGTGGATTTTCATGAGCCACATGAGATTATTACCATACGCACTTTCCACGAATATTCCGATCAAATTGCAGGGTTAAGAGCTCGCTCTATTTCCTCTAATGAACGTCCCTTTGTTTCCACAACATTAGCAGCTATGTAAAAGACAGCAAGAAGACAGATGCCTGAAAATCCTAAATATACAGAGCTGATCCCAAACTTGTTCACAAAGCTCAAGAAATACAGGCCGATGACAAAATTTGCAGCCTGTTACCACAGCAAGCCAATTCAATATTAGCATGTAACAACAACCAATTCATGTAACATCAACCAATCAAACATTCTCCAAAAAGGAAAAAAAAATCACGTACACAAGTTCCATTCACATCTACACAGTCAAAGACAAGTAAATAAATACAGGAGTAAATATATGAGCTAAGTGCCCACAAAACTCCACATAACAGAGGTCATTCCCTTCGTATTATCTCTAAATAAACAGTGTGGCTCACTACGGACATGCATGTGCATTCATATATATGTACAAAGCGAACTATTCTACATCATTGGCAAAACAAATAATGATTTGTTTTGCAGTCACCATTATCTAATTCCAGTCAATTTGCTTATCTATATGTTGGCATTGCGTTTAGCCCTTATGGCAGTAGTTTTTGAAGATGGTAATCAAATGGCAATAGGCAAAATGCGAATCATTCCAAACTAGCAACACTACTAAATCTCAGTAGTTGGAAAACCATACTTTACAAATGTTATTTTTCATGACTTACCCAGTGCATGCCCAAGGATAAAGCAACTGCTTTCGCTCTAATTCTGGAGGCAAATATCTCTGGAAGAAGAAGAGCAGGCACAGGACCAGCACCAAGTGAAAACGACAACACATAGCTGTATTAAGAGATGAGAAGTCACATTTCGATTTCAACTTTCAAGTGGACAAAAATAACAGACACCAGAAAAGGAGAAGCTCAATTAAATCTTATAACGAAATTAACCCCTCCCCACCCCCTTCTTCCTAAACGCTCAAAAGCAAGAGGAGAAAAGAAAAGAGCTTGACTAAACTCACAAGGAAAATAATTGTCTTACCAAATTGTCCCTAGAACAGCAAGGGTTCCAGAATATGGTGCCAAGGCCTTCCAAGTGAAGGACAAGGAAAGCAGCAGCATTGAGGCAGCCTTCATAACCAAAGACACACAAATGGAAATGTGTTAGATACAAGATGATCCTAGCCCTACACATTTGGAATATTTTTCTGTGTGAATACAAATGTTTGTAAAGAAAGATACACAAAAGCTGAATAATGTCATGTTCTCTTCGGTAGTTAGAACTAGGACATGTGGAGGGATTCTGGCAATGGCAAATTGACGCTGTGTAACCAAATTCTATGCCAAGCATGATGGAAGAAGTAAAGGTTGCCAGACTTGAAATACTAATTTTTATCTAACTTAGTGCATCGATATGTAACCACCAGTACAAACAGATCATGCCAAGCAGTCATGTTTTTATCTAACTTCTATGCTATGTAACCACCAGCTCATCAAAATGTCTGATAAAGCCATTCATCAAACACATAAAACAAAGAGAAGAAAAGAGAGCACATGACTGGAGAAACTATCCACACATCTGTAAAATCATGTTCAGGTCAAAAGACTTGATGCAAACAAGAAGTGAGGGTTATGGCATCACTAGTCTGTCTCCTATGTGAGATAATAGGTCACAAAATAAGACTTTAGGATTGGAAAATCCTTAAATTCACATCCTACTTTCATGAGGAGACCAGTACGAAGAGATCAGACCACCAAACCCTTGTCAAGATAACTTCTTCAAATATAGATTGGTCACTATTTCCTTCTTTTATTTTTTTCTCGGCTTTCTTAATTCAATAATTCTCAATTAGATATTGGAGCAATAGGTTTACAAGTTATTTTATAAAATACAAATGGAGAAGGTAGTTTAAAAAGCTCTAAGATCTTGATGACCATAAAAATGTAAATGCAACAGAAAATTATGTTTATCTGATTAAGAAGAATGAATGGTTTGAAACTACAAATAACCATACCATTCCGAAAAAGCTTGTGATCAGAAGACTCTTCCTTCCTTGTCTGTCCATTAAGGAAGATGCAATAGTTGTGCCTGCAAGAAGCCAGTCAAATTAGAACATGGTTGCAAATTGTAAAGTTGTGCCTGGAAGAAGCCAGTCAAATTAAAACATGGTTGCAAATTGTAAAGTTATGCATGCACCTGGTTTCAGAAAGAAAGATAACAAAAAATTTACCAAAGACATTTGATGCCCCAACAAGAGCACTAGCAGCAACATCTGATGCAATACCAGCACTACGAAACACAGCAGTTGAATAGTACACCACAGCATTTATCCCAGCCATCTGTTGGAAAAAGAAAAGTGCTACACCAACGTTCACGACTGCATAAAAAAATATGTTAATAAAATAAATCATTTACCCTGACAAATCAAACTAATTAGTTAAACTCAAACTATAACAGCAAGAGGTTGCAGTGACAGTAAGCTATAGAAGATTATCTAAGTATGTCATTTTGCTTGTGAAAAAACTATTTTCCAAATAGCCCCAATCACTAAACATGCTTCAGACATGAGTTTTTAATGCGGGAATGCAGGTTGATGACCCTGACTCTTTATCCCCATTTATTGTTTCAATATTGGCTTGGAGGGTTGTGGAAAAGTACAATCTTTGATTTTCCTCAAAGAGTCTGTCAACCTTTATGCAGAAAAGCCTGTAGTAGATTTAATCGAGGCATCAACAACTGATTAAAACACGGAGGTGTAGTCATGAGTATGTAGAAAATTTACGAACGCTAGGAAAATTTTGAAGTGGCAAAAAATTCTGGAAACCATAGAGATTATGCCATCTGATCCAGCTTATTGTACACAAGCCCAATAACCCAAGATCAACATTTTTTATCTGAACCCAAGAGTTATGAGAACCTTTCCAATAGCGGCTGCTAAATAGGTCAAACCATCCAGCTTCTGGCTCAGAAGAACCTTGACTAGACACAGTTAAATCGGTCATGACATCAGCAACTCTTTCCTTTCCATAAAGTGTCTTTATGGACTTTTCAGCTTCAGAAAATCTTCCTTGCTTCAAGGTAAAGAAGTTTGTCAATAACTACTAAACGAATGGTTAATTTTAGATAAATCATGTGCAATTACATCTGAACTCTTATCAACACATAAATAAATATACAAATGCCTTAATGACATGCCTTAATGATATGAGATTAAATACTACAACTAAACCTGAAAAAGCCACCGAGGACTTTCTGGAGAAAATGCCATTCCTAGTGCCAATAGAACAGCAGGAACAGCTGAAAGACCGAACATTGTCCTCCACCTGAAGGAAGCATATAAATAGACTCGAGTATATAGATAGTCCTTAATAGATGAAAGGAAAGAGAGATTATTCATGAAACACAATTTCCAGTAAGGAGCACTTTAATAGCCATTCAAGAGAAAATAAACATCAAAACTTTAATTCGATGCCACTCAATTTACTTTCATTAATCAATTATGCATAAAACATGCGTTCAATTGGCATGACAACTTCAATTTTCCCAAATATTTATTACGTAGGTGATCTGAATTTCTATCTGGAATGCTAACGAGACAACAGCTTATAGTTACATTTTCTAGCAATAAGTCAATAACACAGAAGCATTTCAATTGCTTCCATTATATTCTTCAATGTTACACAAAATTAAAGCCAGATATAAGACTCTTACTGATAAGGTTCCATCCAAACTTATATATACGCAATATGAACTTAGAAAGAGTCTCAGCGAAGAACTTGATGTGCAATTGAGCATTGCTTGAAGAGTTAGTTGCAGCTAACTAAGATGGCATGATAATACAAAATTAAGAGAAATTGTAACCTTTAGACGTGTTCAACTGAAATCGTCACAATGTTATATTTCCAATATCAAATAATTTGCAATGCAAATCACAAGGGATTTGAAGTTGCTGAATGAGTTTCTTAGACTCTTTAGTTTTCTTCTCTTTTCCTGTGAAAGATATGCTCAGTCCGGTTTTTTCATAGGGAAAATGCCCCCATTACCACTTCTTTTCACAACATCTATTCGTTTTAATTCCTGGTGTTACCTAAAATATTTGTGCGCATAGCTAAAAGGACCACACCAAAATGCAATTGATTAATCTCTAATTTTGAATGCAGTTATCTTATCTTGTTTGCCTAGATTAAAGTTTTATAAAGTATTAATACAAGGGGGATGCAAAGGACATTCCAACCCCAAGTCACAGAACATCTAAAACAACAAAGACAAGAAAAACCAATCAAGAATGGAGCTACCAGGCGTGAAAAAAAGAAGAAGAAGAAGAAGAAGAAGCTTAAGAAATGAATTTAAGGATGGGCAACTCATGATTTTGGCATTCTTCTATTACTCTTTTCAGTTGTACAGCATAAGTAATAACACTTTCCAAGACCTCCCCATCCTTGCCCACCCAAACTGGCTACAAGGTCTTATGTTACAGTTCTTCATAACATAAATCAAAAGATTAGACACTTGTAATATTACCCTGTTCTATTCCCATAGAGCTTATGTCTACAATCATATTAGAGTCTTGTCTGACATAATGGCTGACCTCATTAATTTTACACAACCTCATATGCTAGTTTTGTTCTCCTCCTATTTTTAATAGCATGCTGAAACCCATTATATTGCTGGCACTTGGATTTGCTTAAGATTAAGAAGATCAATCACTTTTTAAACTTAGAATTCCCATAAATCAGTAACTTGATTTTTGAGCCATTTAGCTATCAAAGACAAACAAGGATAAAATGCATTGACTGCTCAACTATCTTTAACTTTCCTAATGCAAAGTGATTGCAACTCTAAAAATTCCAGACTTGCAGACTGGTTTTATCCAGGTCACATATCATGCCAACCTAAGAATTTGAAATGTCAAATTTCCTTTCCTTGTCTAAATCACATTCTACTTGGCAACCACATATATGGGCAGTCCTAAAAACTAGACAATTGATGAGTACCTCTAAACAAAGAAACCAAAAAATGAGCTAGATAATTATTTACTGCTTCAATTTAGCATCAGTATGACATATCCATGCAGAAAAAAATTTCATTGCTCCATCTTTGAAGTCTATCATCAATAGCTTCTACCCATAAAATCCAAAAATTTCCTTGTGCACATGGAAGAAAGGATTCTTGAAGCAGCATTACCAAAAGCTGCTCAGGCATATGATTACCGTGTCTTATTTAAGAACTTATTTCCTTCTTCAGGTTGATTAAACATAGCAGTCAAATACACAAACCATTAAAGAATGCAAGTAAAACATACCATATAGGGTTTCCTGCCAATGGCAATCCAGCTACCAATGCCAAAAGAATCCCAATACATATAAAAAGTTGGTTTACAGACCCTAGTGCACCACGGATTTCAGTAGGCGAGATCTGACCAAAACAATAAGTACTACTAGATCAACTCTCGAAAAACCATGAACACTCAAGTGATAATAAAATGAAATAAGTTACAACCTCAGATATGTAAAGTGGCACAATAGCAGAAGAAATGCCAATTCCTATACCAGCAAGAAGACGCCCGATTATCATAGTCTGGACACTCTGGGCAGTAGCACTGAATATTTTTTCAGGAGCAGATAAAACATTAGCTCTTGCAAAAATCTCGGAAATCACAGCCCAAAAAACAAAAGATAAAAGGCAAACCAAAGCAATGCTCCAATTGCAAGCGGAATTGCATCTAACTGAAAAGTCCTTGTTCTTCCAAACTTGTCAGCCAATGCTCCCCCAGTAAAAGAACCAACAGTAGCACCAGCAAGCAGTGTGCTAACAATCCATCCTACTCAATCAATAGAATGCCGGAGAATTATAAACTATATCGGAATGCCAATTAAATCAACAAAAAAAAAAAAAAAAACTCTAACCAAAACATCTCTGCTTTTACTAGTTTGGCAAACAGAATTCTCTGTTTCATTGAAATAAACTCAAGTAATCAACATATTCTACCGTCAAAGCACAGAACTCTTAAAGAAACAACAAACAAAATTCCATTCATGAATTAGCAAACAGTTCCTTGCCTTGTATGACGGTATTTTCAACAATCCCAAGATCCTTAGCCAGATAATCAAGAGCACCATTCACCACCCTGAATCATCATCCAAAACCAATAAAGAAAACCGCAGAGCCGTAGAAAATGTCAATGCAATGGATAAATTAAACTAACAACAATTAATTACCCTAAATGATAACCAAACAAAGTAGCTCCCAAACAAGCAACTCCAACAAACGGCAAAACCGTTCCGGTCGAAGCTTTCCCCTGCTGCGTCGGCACAACATAACCAACTTCTTCATCCGACTTTATTGGCCTAACTTCTTCCTCATCTCCTCCATCTAAAATTCAAAATCCAATCCAAATCAAACACGCAACTACACAAAAAATAAATAAATATTCAAATAAAGGAATAAAAAAATTGAAACGGACAGACCGGAAGCGAGAGCTTTGACGGGGCGGGAGCGGAAGAGAGAGGAGCGAGTGAGTTCGGTTCCCATGGAGGAGGAGACAGAATTGAGACGCAATCCAAAACAAGAGGTGCGGTTCGTCATGCAAGAAGAAGAAGAACACAGTCGACCGTTTCTTTTGCTGAAACCAATGGCGGATGCGAGTTGCTTTTGGCTTTTTTCAGCTCTAAAGCCTCCTGCTAGGCTTGTAGTGTTGCTGTTAATGCTGCCTTTGACTCCTCCTCCATACATTACTGCTTGCATTTTTAATTAATTCTGATTTTGAAAATTCAAATCACAAAAAAGTCAATAAACAAACAAAATAACAAAAAATAATAATAATAACTACAAAAACAAATTGAAAAGAGCAGAAGCTAATGCAGAGAGACATCGAAATTGAAATCTCTTCTTCTTCGTCTTTTTTTTATGAAAATAATAGAAGTTATGATGGAAATGGAATTACCGAATTAAGAGAGAAAGGGATGATCAGTGGAGCCTGAAGTTGCCTTTTTTCCCCTCTGTTTGCGTGGATTTTTTGTGTATAAAAATATGAGAAGGGATTGTTTAGGATTTAGAGAGAGAGAGGCTTTGGAAATTCCGTTGAGGAAGAGGGAGAGTGGAGAGTGAGAAACAGTTTTGTTTGCTTACTAAGAGCTTACTCAACAAGAACAAAGTTGGTGGAGAAATCAACTCTTTTTCTTTTTTCTTCCATTAATAATGATTTCTTGTTAATAATCGATGGATTGGACCCTCTCCATCCATATCATATATGTACTCATGAATTTAAAATTAATATAATATATGTGTTACATCATAGAGAAATTTATAGATGTAACAATCACCTGATAAATTCACAGATTATCACCTTGTAAAAAGGGTTTTTCTCCTGTTTATATAGATAAAATTAGTTTTTTTATGATAAAATATATAAAATTATTTTAAAAAATTATTTATATTATAATGTAAATCTATAAAAACTATATAAAATTAAAGATAAAAAAGTATTTATAATTTTGTAATCAAAATTTTGCATTTAAATATTTTTTATTTATGTTTTTCATAATTTTTCTGTTAAAAAAATTATTCTTGTTAATTCATGAATTATTAACTAAAAAAATTAAATAAAAATTTTAAAAAAACTTTATTATTTCATAAGATTTTATATAAAAATAAATTAAAACTATTAGTAAATATAATTTTAAATTATTTGGATGAGAATTTAAAAAAATGATGAATTAAAGTGATAAATTTTAAATAATAAAAATAATTAATAAAACCATTAAAATAAAATAAGAACAAATCATAATATAATTAAAATTTAAAAAAATATATATATATAGGGAGAAATTAAGGATCAAAGTATTGTAATGACTAATAAAAAAAATAATAATTTATAAATACATGAATAATAATTTGTGATTATATAAATATTGTTACGAACAAAAACTCATTTTATTGTAATATTTTTTATAATATTTGAAAAAGAAAAAGAGAAATAGTAGTAGTGACAGTACGGATGAGACACCGGGGGAGGAATGGGATTCGGATTAGATTTTGGGTAGCGTTGGAGGTGTCGTAGGTGGGTGCACGTGACGACACGCAGCTGTTTGCGTTTTCTGTTTCCTCTCAGCACTGCAATTTGCTGGCCTATGTTTCTTGTTGCATGTGTTTTCTCTCTCCTATTTATCTGTATCGGTATATTTATATACTTAAAACGATACAATGAAACTGAACGATAGTTAATAAAACAGTTAAATATTTAAATTAAACAGAATAGTTGTTATTTAGTTTCATTCTGACAGTTACATCTGTCAATAAATTAATTTTGAAAATTTTGCTAAAAAGCGTTTGCTGGGTTAGAGGTTTTTTTGTTGCTAAATGTTACGGCCTAAATGCTGAACTATGACCCTACCAGTTCGGATGGGTGTTCATCCCAAAGTTTTCCCGGACTGCATGAATACATCCGTAATAAGTAACTTAGTGTAACACGGCAAATTTCATGGAGAGGTCGAGAATGTACCAGTAGTGTTTTATTTATTTTAATCATATTTTATTATTAATATTTTTAATAATTATGTTTTTTTCATAATTTATGTTTCAATTTTATTCTTTCCGTCAAATTTTCTAATAACTATATCAATTTTCGATAACAAACTCATATGTAACTCATACGTGACATATTTAAAAAAAAATCCAAAAAAATTAAAAAAATTTCAAAATGTCTTTATTTTTATGCATAGAAATAAATAATTTTTTTTTTTTGCTTCCTCTTAAATTCAAACCAAAAGCAAAAATTTGTTACTTTTAGGAAAGAATAGAAGCTAAATTATTTATTTATATATTTCAAATCCAAACCTGAAAAAAAATTATGAAATTTTTTTATAACACGAGAATAAAAGGAAAAGGCAGATTAAAAAAAGGATATTTTAGGATTTTTTAAAAAAAAAATTTCAGAATTTGAGAGAAAGGAAAAAAATACAAATGAAATTAATTATTTATGTTTATACATAAAGGTAGAGAAAACGATGGGCATTTTGAAATTTTGAAATTTTTTTCAATTTTTTAGTTTTTCCATAATTTTTTTTAAAAAAATGTCATATGTTAGCATTTTGTGAGTCTCACCGAAAATTGATGTAGTTATCGAAAAATTTGATCGAAGAGACGAACTTAAGATATAAATTAAAAATAGAAGGATGCGATTATTGAAAAAATTAGTAGAGAAAAAGATTAAGACAAATAAAACAAGTAAAGGAATATACTTGGACATTTAATCTAATCATAAAAGAAAGAAAACCTTACTCGCATCTTAATGTGTATTTGAAAGATTGTTTCGGGAAAGAAAGAAAGAAATTAATCTTGAAAATTATTCATTTACTATTTGGAATACTATTTATACACTCATAAATTACTATTTACACACTCACAAATATCTATTCCTTTTGCTATTCATAGCATTTTTATAACACTTTGATCCTCAAATTTTTTATCCTTCTTTTTTCAATTTCAAACTTTAATTGTATTGTGATTTAGTCCCATTTTGTTTTAGTGTTTTTTGTTAATTATTTTTATTATTTAAGATTTACTACTTTAATTCGTCTTTTTTTAATCTTTTTTTTTCAATTTCAAATTTTAATTATATTGTGATTTAGTTCCATTTTGTTTTAGTGTTTTTTCTAAATTATTTTTATTATTTAAAATTTCTACTTTACTTTGTTATTTTTTTTAAATTCTCATCTAATTAATTTAAAATTATATGCTCCTCAAATTTTCTATGCATGTTTTTTCCAATTTCAAACTTTAATTCTATTGTGATTTGCTCACATTTTCTTTTAGTATTTTTTATTAATTATTTTTATTATTTAAAATTTACTACTTTAATTTCTCATTTTTAAAAAATTCTTATCCAATTAATTTAAAATTATATTTATAGATAGTTTGATTATATTTTTTATATGTATGGATTTTAGAATAAATTTTTAAAATATGATTATTTTTTTGAAAAATAGATTTAGATAATTTTTAAATTATAGTGACATGATTAATTTATATAATTTGTCTAAAATGCGTTTTTAGTCCTCAACTTTTTTTATATTTTTTTATCAATTTCAAACTTTAATTGTATTATGATTCGAGTCCCATTTTGTTTTAGTGCTTTTTGTTAATTATTTTTATTATTTAAAACTTACTACTTTAATGTATCATTTTTTTAAAAAATTCTCATTCAATTAATTTAAAAGTTTATGGTCCTCAATTTTTTTATACATTTTTTTTTCAATTTAAAATTTTAATTGTTTGTGATTTGATCCCATTTTGTTTTAGTGTTTTTTTGTTAATTATTTTTATTATTTAAAATTTACTACTTTAATTTTTTTAAAAAAATTATCATCTAATTAATTTAAAATTATATTTACGGATAATTTTGATTTATTTTTCTATATGTATGGATTTTAGAATAAACTTTTTGAACATGATTATTTTTTTCTTTTGAAAAATAGATTTAGATAATTTTTAAATTATAGTGGCATGATTAATATGTATAATTTATCCAAAATACTTTTTTAGATTAAAAGAATATTTCAAATAATTTTTTTTTGTTTTTTTAAAAAAACTCAAATTAGCTGATTAATAGTTGAAAGTCAAATATGAAAAATAAAAAGAAGATAGTTGCTCGCGTGTAAGGCTTATATTCAAGGACTAGCTATGTATAGCATAGAAATAAAAAAGTATTTAAGAAAGAGGGAAAAAAAGAAAAAGAATTCACATGTTTTATTAATTTGTTTTTTCTTTATTTAATTAAAATTAATCGAAATCAAATTTGTAATAATTTTTTTTTATCTATTAACTTCAAATTTAGTCAATAGATGCCTTACAAGTTAATTTTTTTTAATAGTATTTTTTGTTTTATACTGAAAACTCTGAACTCATTTAGTATAAAATATTGAATATTTATTTTTTTAGAAATTATTTGTGCAACTACTACACTAAGCATTTATTATTTATTTATTTATTTTTGAATATTTTAAAATTAACTTATTTTATATTAAAATTATGTTTTAGCTTAGCCACTCAATGATTCAAATTAATATAGTTTTTTATTTTAATATTATTTATTTTTTTGTAAATAAATATATAATAATTAAATTCACTTCTTTTCAAAAATTGATATTCTCATCAACATTAAATAAAAATAAAAATAAATTATTTGTTCAATTCTATGTAAGCTTTTAATAATTTTTATTTTTATTTTTTGATACAATCTTATGAAATACTAAAGTCTTTTAAAAAAAATTATCTAATTTTTTTTTTTAGTTATAATCCATAGATTAACAAGGATAAATCTTTTTTTCTAAAGAAAAAGTTATGAAAACCACAAATATGAAATAATTAAATGCAAAATTTTTAATTAAAAAATTATAAATATTTTTTTCACCTTTGATTTCGTATATTTTTATAGATTCACACCATAAAATAGACTATCAAACTGAAATAAGTTTTCTAAATAATTTTATATATTTTATTCAACTCGCAAGTATAGCGCAGGACAAAAAACTAATAAAACATTCTTTTATTATTCATTTCGCTAATTGAAATATTATTTACACACTCACAAATCACTATTTATATACTCACAAACCACGGTTCCTTTAACTATTCATGTCATTTTTTTTAACACTTTGATCCTCAAATTTTCTAAACTTTTTTTTCAATTTCAAATTTTAATTATATTGTGATTTGATCCCATTTTCTTTAATTATTTTTGTTAT